CTCCCTTCTTAATTTTAAACCATGCGGTGTTTCATTGCTCTGTTTGCACAATAGCCTTTTGACCTAGGTATAGGTTTCACCTGAATACAATTAAGTGCTCTAGGATTCTCATTATGTTAGCCATGACTTGTTATGATTCACATAGTCAAATGCCTTTGCATGGCTAATAAAGCAGATACAGGCATTCTTCTGGTATTCTTTACTTTCATCCAAGATCTATCTGACATCAGCAATGATATCCCTGGTGCTATAGCATCTTCTAAATCCTGCTTGGACTTCTGACAGTTCCTTATGTACTGTACATACTGTTCTGGCCATCTTCAGCAGGATTTTGCTTGTATGTGATATTAATGACCTGTTTGATAGTTTCCACATTCTGGTGGATCACCTTTCTTGGGAATGGGAACAAATATGAACCACTTCCAATTTGTTGGCCAGATAGCTGTCTTCCAAATTTCCTGTCATAGGCTGGTGAGTGCATCCAAAGCTTCATCTGTTAATTAAAACAAGTCAATTGCTATTCCATTGATTCCTTGGGCCATATTTCTTGCTAATACCTTCAATGGAGCTTCAACTTCTTTCATTACCATTGGCTCCTGTTCATATGGTACTTTCTGAAATTTTTCAGTGTCAATCAGTTCGTTTGGTACAATGACTCTGCAAATGCCCTCCATCTTCTTTTGATGCTGCCTAGCTCATTCACTATATTGTCCATAGCATCTTTCAATATTGAAACTCAAGGCTTAAATTTGCTTTTTAGTTCTCTCAGCTTGAGAAAGACAGAGTGGATTCTTCCTTTTCATTCTCCAATTCCAGCTCTGTGCACATTTCATTATAATACTGACATGCCGATAAAACAAATGTTTTATTTAGGACAGGAATAGCAAGAAAACCTTCAACATGATGAGGAAACAAAGAGTGTAGAAGGGAGAGCCACTCAGATCCTATGAAATGACAGGAAAGGCTAGTGAGGAACCCTCAACCTGAGTTCTGGGCAAAAAGGTCAGTGAAGTGCAGGCACTGCGACAGTTGGTCCTTCAGCATTTGTCTCTTTTTCACTTCCATTCCTGAAAGAGCCCTGTACTGAATCAAACTTCTCCCTTATACTTCCAAACTAAACAAATCCAAATCAATCCATACTGAAGCACACTCATTGCCCTCAAGTAGACTACAATTCCCAGTGATACTATATGAATGCAGTAGGACTGCCCTACAGCCTTTCAAAGTCTGTAATCTTTATGGAAACAGACTGCCTTATCTTTCTCCCAGACAGAAGGTTTAAACCACCGACCTTCAGTTAGAAGTTGAGTGCCCCTGCACCACCAGTGTGCTCTTTTTCTGCCCCCAGTTGTCAGAAAAGAGCAAGGAGACACTGTTGTTGTTGTGTTGTTATGTGCCGTTGAGTTGCTTGCGACCCATAGCGACCCTATATCTCTGCTCTGTCCTGTGCCAATCTCATTGCCTCCAACACACTCATCCCGATTGCCCCAGTCACCAAATCAATCCATATCCCAGAGGGCCTTCCCTTCGTGTGCCTGCCCTCCACCCTCCCAAGCATGATGTCCCTCTCCAAGGACCGGTCTCTCCTCACAACATGACCAAAGTATG